TATATATATATATATATATATATATATAATATAAAAATAATTATAAAAACTTATTGTTTTGTTATTAAAACATTTCAATAATACTAATAAATTTATATATTCATACATATATATATATATATATATATATATATATATACATATATTTTTGTGTAAGTACTAACTTCATAGCTTTACGATGGATATCGACAGCATAAATCATTGCCTTATAAATTGTAATTTCATTCTTCATGTTATTTTTAAAAATTTCATTTATCATTGCTCGTTCAATACGGTAGCTATAAATAATAAATTCTTATAACTGTAGAGTCTTTCTAGATTTATGAGACGAGAAATGATGTTCTACTTCTAAAACACACACAGACGTTTATTTTAATATTTTATGTGTTGTTTTTCTTACCTGGCAATCTTAAACATTCCACAGGCGTGTTTGAGGTACCCTATGAGCATCGTTCCCGTTGCTATATATGCAATTGCCCCTATACAAGAAGCTACGTCTATGTGCAGCAAAATTAGATAAAAATACTTTTCCTGATCGACGAAGTATTCAGTCATGATAGGAATTAGAGGACGTGGTCGAGATTCATTCATGGGCACAATGATATCGAGAATGCATGGCCACATTGGCACAAAAACAATAGCTAATACACAGCACAATGTAATCTCTGAGCATATTTAAAAAAAGTAGTCATATTTTGCTGCATGTAAATGAATAATAATAAAATAACACGTTTTGACATAATGATATTGGAAATATGTTAAAATAATAAAAAAATATAAAGAAATAGATGAAAAAATAATAATATTCCAGAAAAATATTCTTTATGTAAACCACTAACATTTTTAAACTGTTTGGAAGATCAATTTTTTGTATATTTTATATGTTTAATTATTTTTTAATTGTTTTAAATGTCGAATATTCTAGCACAAAGTTGCATGCTTACGCTTTTTTAATATTTTTTATTTATCTGTTTAATAATAATAAAATAAAGTAATTATATATTTTTTTTATTGTATTTTATATTTTGATAATAAAAAGTTTAATATATAAAAGTAGCAAAGATCTATTATTTAATTTTTATATGAGATTGTAATCTATTTTTTATTATACGACATGTAAAGAAAATCATTAAAGTTTATCTTACGTATAATTCTAATTGTATAACGTTTCGCGTTCAATCCGTACTTTTCTATAATGGCAATTTCATTTTCATCTTTTATTTCATTATAGATATGCTGTAATTGCTCCAGTAAACACCTGATCTATTATATTAATAATATTTTATGTTGTTCCCCGTGTGGGAAAAAAATATTCTATACATTTATAATGGATGAGTAAAAATCTAACTTACAGTTTGAGTGTTAATCCAAAACGAGTTATATTTAATTATAAATGAAATTAAAAGTAAAATGTAAGAAAAAATCTTAATGATAAGATTAAGTGTACATTCTGCAGTCAAAAATGTCATAAGCTACAATCAACAAATTTATTCAAATATCCTTATTAATAAAATTGATCCTTTATTTGAATATCGACTTTTTAGTTATTTGAATATTTATATATTTGAATAACAATTTGATTAATGTAAGTCTAAAATAATCAGTTGCTTTTTATGCATAATAATCTTGTAATTAAAGTGCAATTAAAATTATATTGTAAAGTAATATTATAATACAATATTATATATATAATATTAAATAGTAAATTGATATTAAATAATTAATTTTAAATGTATATAAGTAATTTATTACGTAATAAGAGACAATTAAAAATATTGAAAATACCTGAACTATAATGCAGCTTGTCAAAATACCAAAGAACAAAATTAATTGTAATTGAATGAGTTTTGATTGCTTGTAAGGCCATAAGCCAATGGCGAGCAAAAGAATTCGATTGAGGCCAAAATACTGGGTCTCAACAAAAATCATCTCTCGCATTGAGATACATCTGACTGTGAAAAAGATATTAAAATCTCGCGTATCCCCTTCTCCCAAACAATTGCATATTTTGAAACTTTTTATGTTAAATTCTAAATAGCGTAATATAATATGTAACGCTATAGTCTAATTTAGTACGTAATATAAAATACTATTGTGGGACACATACTTTGCCAATTTTGCTGGAAGAAAAAGACGATCGATTTGATGTCGAATAGAATTTAGCAGCTGTTTATTTTACACTACAAATACATAAGGTGATGTCTTTGTCGAAGTCTACGCAAGCGCAACTCACTCGATTCCAGCGACGTTGTTTTATATATTTCATTTCCGTGCGTGCACTCATAGGATGCGTTAGCTCTTTTGGGGGAACATTCCGGTCGAACTGTTTTAGAAGTGAGTGACACGAGTTATATGTGAAATTATTATCGGTGAAATAAAAGAAACTGCGGAAAGTGTTACGAATGTAGAAAATATTACAAAGCTTATTAAATATATTACATCTAATTGTAAGTAAAAAGTGCTGCATTCTTTGTTAGTGTTAATAGAATTAAAGTCTTCATTTTTTATCATGCACATTAATCTGTCTTTCATAACTTTCCTATCTTAATGAATTGGCATTTGTTTTTAATTATCCAACAGAAAGTGATGCAAATATATTTGTCAGTTTTTAATAAATAATTGACTATGTTTCATACGTTTCGCAGTGCATACGATCATAAATTAATTTAGTCTATTCAGAGAAGTAGTAATCTTAACTTACATATATCAATCATTAAAATTAAACAATTAATTCAATGTTAAAAATGTATGGCCAAAATAAATATAAAGTTAAAGCCAATGCGCTGAATATGACCATTATTGAAGACCGCACGAAAAAAGAATGTTTCTGGCTACAGCCAATTCTAATTAATTGAAATTGCATTAGCTACCTACTATAGCTATGAAATTTGCTAATACATACAGAGGATTTGTTGCTGTAGCTAATATAAGGACGTGATAGCAAAGTATGCATGTCTGTTACAGATCAATTTATTTAGCAATATGAAGTTAGTTATCGGATATGTCCGTGTAAAAGAAAATTGCCTCTATCACAGCTAAATATGCTAAAACTGTGTTTGCTAAAAAAAAATTGTCTGCTACACATAAAACGTTTAATGCAATAATCAATACAGCGACATAATAGCAAAATGCTTTTCTATTACAATGATAATATTTTGGCCTCACTAATAGAAATTAGATCTCGCAGACATGACGTTAGGTGTCCATATAATATTATTGAATTAGCTGCCAAACCTAATTTTTAGCTGTGGCAGTCAGTGATCTTTTTTTCCGTTTAAAATTATTTTACTTGATGAGTGAATTTATATAGACTCACTAATTAGCTTACAAATATAGTATAACAAAAGCAATATCTCACATAATAATATGAACGTGTAAATTTCGCAAAACTATTGTACTTTTTCACTGCGGATTTCAATTAGCTCGTTAAATATGCTGGTCCAATATTTTGCCTGTCGTTTTAATAAAATTTTTTTTGTCGTTTTTCTTTTCTAAACTCAGGAGAAATTATATTGTATAGTGAAATTTATATTTTGAAAACGTTTATTTGTATGTAAGTACAATAGATAATATATAATAATTGTTTAACTTTTGCGTCTCCCCTTTCTTGGATTTGTTAAATATTCTATAGCTTTTTTGTATTTTTTTAATTTGAATATATTAAACTGAATTGCTTAATTTATTTTAAACGTAATGCAAAAATAAATGAAATATTACCATGAGATAGAAACAACAATTTACACCTTCATTCCAGAAGGGATATATGGTTAAGCGATCAGTTTGATTATGGCAATAAAGTAACAGATGTTTGTTTTCTATAAAGAAATACTTCATAAAAGGGACTTGTGCGACAGAGGATCGCGCAGGTGCGGTTTGATTCTTTTTAACACAACGTATTTTAACGTACTTTACACGCACGCATGCACACACACATAGGGTGTAATAAACTTTTTGACATACCGCTTTTGGATAGAGCAGACCGAACTGAATCGAAAAGTCCTTTACTATTTTGCAATTTTCGCAATTTCTTTTCTAGTTACTCAATGAAGCAGAATAGCTAAAATCGACGCACAAAACAACTTTAAGATATCTTTAAGAGTTCTTTAGTAATAAATATATTTATGATATTTTATAAAGAACTCTGATAGATATCTTAAAATTCTTTTATGCGTCTGTTTTATCCACTTATTCAACAATTTCTAAAAAATTAATATCTCGTTAACTATTGCGAAAATTACAAAATGGTAGGAAATTTTTTAACTTAGTTTAGTCCGGTCTCTTTGCCTACAAGCGGTGTGTTAAAAAATTTTACACACACGCACACACACATTTTAGTGCATGCTATTATAAGTGATTCTTGAAAAAATTGTTCAATTTGATACCTCAATATAATGATTATTTATATATATATATTAGGGAAGATCGGGATGTTAAAGACTTGTCAGACAACAAAATAGGTAATAAGAAAAATTTACTCACCAATTTCATTTTCTTAAAAATCGCTATAAATAATATATGCCTGTGCATGGTGCAAATCATTTTACACAACAAATTAATATTATATCAGCAATCTACAGTTAAAAAAAGAGATTTTTCTATCATGTCTTGTTTGAGTTACAAACATTTTGACAATCAATCCCGTACCAAAGTCACTAGATTTATAAAATATCGCAAACTCGCATCCATTTTGACGTATAACGTGGCCATTTCAAATTAATGAATTTGTATATACGTACTTTATTTGGGAAAACGAATCCGTCAAGTATGTAAATCAATGTTTTTTTAATTGTAATTAGTTTATTTATGACCAAAAGAAATATATACGAATGTTTAATATTTAATTTATGTGTTTTTTAGTTTAATACGGATTTATTTGCTGTAGAAGTTTAATGCATAAAAGTGCACAAAGAGTACATGCAAGTATAGTTCAGGAACACGAAAGTACACATCACATGTATGATCATCGCAAGAGCTTGAGTATTTTTAAAAGATCATTCGGCCGGGGCAACATGTTTTTATTTCGGTTCGGGTTATCTCAGTATTTTTTTAAAGAGTGACTGACTACACATGGATTTAGTCACATATAGATTATACTGTACCCAATGTGATTATACCTTGAAATAGTGTACTATGTGCACTTCGGCCATTTTGACGTATCAGCTCTGAAATCAATTCCGGTACTTTATAGATGTAGTGACTTTATTCCGTACGACAATTAATTCCCTACTAGTAAATATCGCATATAATAATTTCTTATTAGGAATATTTCTGTTTTGTGTACTACATTGCGTCTGCGTTTTTTAAATTCTATTTTCTAAGTTCCTGCATATTTATTTATAAACAAGCTTATATCGGTACGATTTTCTCTTATAATAGCAATGAGAGAACATGTAGATGAAATAATAGCCAAGCAAAAACAATGTTTGAAATAATATTTTTTTTATGGATTGATGATAATTGTATGCTAGAAATCAAATTTGGTTAATAAGAAACTCATATGTATATGGAAGATATCAATTAAACTGTTATAATTTTTGAGAACTGAGATAACAACCAATTCGATCTTGGAGAAAAATATACTCTGATGAATCTTCGGTTGGCAGCAGTTGGGAATAAAAAATCAACTACATTAACACTCATTGTGATTTATACAAGCATTTCTTAAATCACATTTTATTCTTTTAATTGTGAGAATTAAACATCCGATTTTCGTTAGTAATGAACCTTGGTGTCAATGCTGTGTAGAATACATGAACGTGAAATAAGACATCGATGCTTTTAATAACTGTAACGAAATACGTTTTTTGTTGCGTTATCATTGGGAGAGTGATAAGTCATGTTTAAGATATTATATGATATAAAATAATTATTACCATGGCAAAACATTCTAAAGATACCACAATTATATTGCCAAAATTCACAGCAACTACTTTGCCACTTCTTTGTAATATAAAAAGTATCAACTTCTGAGTGTACACGGGGGCTATATACCATCGAACATTGTATCTATAAAACAAAGATAACAATAATGAAAAGATTTTGTCTGCCGACAAAATGTTTTACTAATTATTTAATAACTCTAAACATTTGCTGACATTTTAATTATTATTTTTTATTATCAATCCAAATTATACTGAAAGAGAGAAACAAAGAAAGGAGAGAGAGAGAGAGAGAGAGAGAGAGAGAGAGAGAGAGAGAGGTATTGTCCAGAAGCACTAATCATATTTTATTGTATATACTTCGTATTTTTTTTTAATTATTATTCTTATTAGTAGAAATATGTTTAAGCACTTGTTCTATAAAAAATTTAGAACTGTGTTGGAAATTAAATTTTGACAAATAATACAAATAAAGGTCCTCTATTTCTCTCTTCCCTAAATAGTTGGGATGCATAACTATTATATTAAATTCAATATTTATATAATTACAAATTAATAATTTTTACTTTAATTAAAAAATACGTATGACATAATTAAAATTAAACAAAAAAGGAGACGCGATAATTATATTATATATATGAAACAATTTCTTACGCTGTAATATATATATAATTATTGTGATCCATAACTTCTTGCCCGGTATAGTTAGCTATAAACATGTACGCAAAAATGCCCGACACAATTAAAAGATGAAATAAGAATTCCTCTTTGTTGCCAATGGCCACACTGTGAAAAATCTAATATATTATGGCTATGGTAAAAATTTTAGGTATATTTAATAATAACTTATTTTGTATACAAAAATATATTAGTATAGATTACAAGTAATTAGCTTTTTTTTTACAGTCAGAGACATATGCATGATCTGACCTATATTGTGATCTAAGACAGATCTAACCATAAATCGTTTAAGGCCAAAGACAGATCTTTGCTTAATGCATAATCCATAAAGCATAAGAAAATCAACTAATCAGAGTCTTTTATTTCATGGAAAAGAAGAAAATGAAGAATTTTGATTGGTTCATTTTCTCATGCATTATGTATAATTATGCAACTCTGCGCTTCCACCTTTAAGCGATTTAAAATATATTCGCGGTTTTATTTTTTAAACCGCGAAATTGATTACTGATCTATATTGACAGTTTGATGTTTATAGCCGTAGACCGGACAGCATGCGTTTACACTGAATTTTCAAGCGACTTCACATTTTAGGTCAGATCACGTAACAATGAGATCTGACTTATTATTAGAATTAGGGCAGGTTATCAAGTGCTTATAGAAGGGGTCCAAATAATTTAGATCGATTTTTGGTAAGCCGCGACTTAAATTCAGGACTAAAACTTAACTATATGATGTACACAATAAAATAATCTGCATTTATTCTTTTTTTTTTAACAATTTTGAATATTTAAAAACGAATTAGAATTTGTCTTTAATTAGTTTCGTAATTATTTAATTATGTTTTTTATTTCATATTTTTTTATGTAGTTTAAGTTAAAATATTACGACATAATTTACATCGTTTATTCACGTTAAATAATAATATGTTTAAAAACTCACTGCAAAAAGATTGAGACTCAAACAAATTACACTAATCACTGTTAATGCTAAAAAGGATCCTTCAAAGCTCGATAATAGAAATTCGGAATACCTTAAAAAAATAAAATATTATTTCAAATACTATATGAATGCTGTTACATATAGATACCTACATACTTTATAGCTTTACAATGAATATCGACAGCGCAAATTATTTCTTTGTATATCATAATCTCGTTCTCGATGCTAATGTTGTCGAATATTTTGATCGAGTATTTAAACGCTTGCTCGATACGATAACTACAAATTAATTTTAAGCTATAAATTCAGTTCTCCATAAGTCATCATAATTTCTATTGAGATAACATTAAGATCTTGTTTGGAGCTATATAACGTTTAAAATCTGACAAGTGATTTATTTGTAGATTTATTTTTTACCTGGCAATTTTGAACATTCCACAAGCATGTATAAGATATCCTCTGAGCATTGTCCCTATCGCAGTTATCGTAATCGTTCCTATACATATGACTACATTTGTATATAATAAAATTATGTAATAATATTTTTCTTCATCGATAAAGGATTCAGATACCATGATATGTAGCATTTGGCGTGAGTGAGATTCGTTTGTTTGTAAAACAATATCAAATATTATCCACAAAATTTGCGTTAAAATACCGATAAATATACAGGACATGGCAAACACTAAGAACATTTAAAAAAAGTAATTATGTAAATATTTTACTATTTTTTTAAATATCCATTTAAAGTAGCGAAATATTATATCTTTTAAATTTTTGTGCTGTATAATTATTTCTCATGATATTCTATGCAAATGTTAATTACAAAAAATTCTTTACATTTTTAACGTAACGACTAAAATAATGTGTGTGTGTGTGTGTGTGTGTGTGTGTGTGTGTGTGTGTGTGTGTGTGTGTGTGTGTGT